TTTTTCCCTGACCTTCTTTTCTCTGTAAATTAAGGGTGCACACTATTGCTGAAAAACACAATCACTACTTAGCAGTCGGATGTCCGTATGCACAAAGGCACAGATCCCTAAACAAGATCATATCTGCAGATGAAACTTTTTTTATAGAAGCTTTTTTTTTATTTGAACTAGCACCTCATGACTACATCACGTCATGTACGAGAATCTGCAAAAGACACAGGCGCAAGTGGAATGTACAAAACATGGTGACATTAATTTTTAAGTAAATATAATGGGCGATATATTGCGTCACCAAAAATTATTGAGGTCATTTACATATATTGCGCGATAAGTCGATATATTGATTATTGCGACAGGCCTAGTCATGAACATTTTTAAATATTAAAAACGGCATCTTACAAAACTTTGCTGGTGGGCAGCAGTCATTTCCAGCCTCTGCTTTCTGAAGTGCAGGAAATTTTGGATTGCGCTCAGTATAGTGATTGTTCGCTTGCTCTCTGTCAAAAGGGTTAAAAATAATTCAGCTCTGCAACACTTTTAAACATTACATCTGCATTAAAGTTTAAAACAAAATTTAAACTTAAATTATTTACACAAAATGTTCACAATTTCTATTTTATGGTGGCTTGAATATGTTCGACATTAATATTTTTGGGTGAACTATTAAATTAAGTAGGCAGGACTGCAAGGGTGTGCAATAAGACACCCCGTTTTGTCATTTGTATTAACAAAACAAAAAAATGTGTGTCTAAAAATAAACGTCTAAAAACATCATTCTTCTGTGGGGTCAGTGAAAATAGTGGCAGGGCAACAAACAAAAAAATGAGTAAAATAATAAATAAACACTGGGCCAGCGTTGCTTTTAAGCTCTACGTGTGAAGCCTGATAGAGAAAATAAAAGCTACTTACTGGGGTTCAGCAAGTCATTCAGGGAAAAATCATACACATGACAAACCGGCAAGAACTGGCACCTGAAATAAACGTAAATGTAAAGGAACTCAGCGCTGAGGAATACATGCAGACCTTTCACAACATTTAGACATACTCAGTTTTCAGAGATGCCAAATGACATATTTAAGTCATAAGACTCTCTACAGCACTCTCAAGATAAAACTCTTACATGCGCATGTAAACGCTCATGATTGGAGTCACCCACTCATACAGCATGGGGTACTGGACGTTTTCAGAAAAGGGCACCTGTGGAAGACATGGGTAAAGCAATCTCCAATTCAACATCAAAATACACAGTTTTGATCTGAAAATGCAACGTTGATGCAAAGAAGCCACACTCACCGTGTAATGGCACTCAGGCCTGAAACGAAAAAGAAGCTGCAAAACCCTCATGTAGAGTCTTTGAATGGATTCTGCCTGCAAAAGAAATACATTATTTTGAACACCATCACGAGTATTTATTCATTAAGTGCAGATTCTTATATGAATAACAAAAAAACTCATATAAAAACAAGCTTAATGTATAGCTCTTATTGCTTTTTGGAAATTATTAAGCCAATTAATGGTAGGTAAAAAATAGAAGAGAAGCTGAAACATCACGAGTTACTTTATTAAGCATTATATGAAATAAAGAGGAGTAACACACATTTCAATAGCTTAAAATTTACCCTGCCAGACCCTATTGTAGCCTATACACAAATATATCCATATCTGATCAGTATGCTTTATTTATATAAAACACAAAAAATGAGCTCACACATCACATGAGTCACTTTATTAAACATTTATAGTCAGTTATTATGAAATAAAGTGTAGTAACATTTCGATAGCTATGTTTTTTTTATTTGTCAGATTCAGTGACTGCATCATATGCATTTGTAAGGAGCAAACCGTGGGATCTCCAACATTATTGGGTAATTACAGTAAACAGTAATAAGAATAAAGACCTACATTTATCAGATAATCAGAATATTTTATACATAAGCGCTAAACATCTCATAAGGAAACCATTCTTAGTAGTAAGCTAACATATTAGCAGACAGCAGCAGCATTAATGTTTAATTTATTTCCTATATATAAGCATTTAGATGCTTGTGACAAGATCTAGCTGTCCAATGGACGTTTTCTCTAATCTTAAAACATCTTTTACAGCACCGCTCAGCTCCTGACGCTGATCATTTCGTTTCAGCGTCTAATCTAATGTAATCCAACATTTGCTGAACAGCGAATCCTGGTCATATTTTTCGTTAGGTCACGGATTTCGGCACAACACCGGATAGTGATGGGTCGTTCTTGAACGATTCGTTTATTTTGAATGAATCTTTAATATGACTCAGGAATTACGAGTTGTCTCAGCGAGAGATTCGTTCATTTCTTGTTGACCGCGCATGCGCAACATCCAATAGGTTCTGTACAGGAAACAGAAATGATTCATTCATCTCCCGAGTCTTCGGGTTTGGGTTCGAGTCGTTCGTTCATCACGCGACAGCCCCATAGACTAGAGGCTATGCAGTTCTCGGAAAGAGAATTGTTAGTTCATCTCCCGAGTCTTCGGTCCGAGTCGTTCGAGCAACGGAAATTACAGAAATTAGTTAATAATTCCCAACCTTCCTTACAAACAAGCGCGTAGTTTGTTTCTTTACTCTTACAGTTACGTAATTTTTCTGGTCTCGAATTTTATTTGAGCTTTATAGCTTTTTATTTCTTACAATTTATAAATTTGTGATTTTTTTTCCAATAAAGAATGTGGTAATAAAGTGTTGGTTAATGCTAGTGGACTGCAGTTGTCTGGATCAGTGAATGCGGGAGAAGGAGAGAGATAACACTCATACTGTATATGTGTGTGTCTGTACAGCAGTTAAACCCAATACTGTTTCAGATGATGGGAGAGATGAGAACTCCTGACTAAACTTGTGGACTGAAAGTCAGGCTAGGGAATTTAAAAACAGGCACTCTTAAATGTGCATTGAAAATTGCCAGCTGATAAAACCTATTCTCCAGGGACCATATTCTTAAGATAAAAGAGTTAAATGATTAACACTAAACAGTAAGAAATCAGTCCAGTCTCCCCAGCTGTAATGCTCTCAGTTACATAGATGCATATTGTATGAATTAGTGAGTGTGGTGGTGCTTATGGGGTGTTGCTGTGGGACGGTGAGTATGAGGCTGGGAGGGAATATCAGAGTACACCCACTACAAAAAACTAGACTACACCACTGGGTACAATACAGTTCAGTACAGTACGATTCAGTACTTGCGTTTCCACTGCCAATAGTACCCTTCTTGATAGGCGTGGCCGACAGACCGGTCATTCATTTCCAATGGAGAGTAGCGCGGGAGCTGCGTGGAGTTCCCATCATTTGCAGATGTCCGTTCATACTACACGACCATTCATGCAAACTGTAGCATCATGCTACATAAGACAATAAATAAGATTTATATTCAGCTTTTACTCCAAACTCACTTTAAACCACCATCGAGTGTGTTTAATAACTTCCGATTGCCGTCTAATGAGTGTTTTGGCCATGTCATGTTGCTGAAGTTAAATATGTTATTACCTCTGACTCTGAGTCAGAGCAGCGATCATGGAAGAGAGAACACAAGCAGACAGCGCTGGAAGCTGCTAATGCTCATCAGTAAATCAGTGGAAAATAAATAGAAATCATGATTCTGTCGTGTAAATGTAGCCTAACAGATGTGTAAACTGAAGACTATTTGAGCTTTATTAAAACTATTTTGCACTGATTTATTGTGTTGGTTACATTTTGTTCCTTTGTGCAGTGGCTCAGGAGATGAGTCTTTGAGTTTGTATAAACATCAACAAGCTGAAAAATAAAACCAAAGTTTGATTTCATAAAATTGGTATTGAAAAAAGTATCGTTCAGAAACCTGTATCGAAGTCAAGGTATCGGTTTCGAAAATTTTTGAACGATACCCAGCCCTACGCTGTACTACGGTAAAGTTCAAAATAAATATATGAAGTTAAACATGACTTTGTGCTCAGCCAAAACGATATGACCAGGAATAAATAATAGATTCATGAGACCACGAATGCCTGTTAAATATAGCCAACCCAAAACAAATTGTATCTCGTGTTTAATCACTACAGAGACATCAGATCCAGCGGCAAATGTCAGAAGGACTAGCCGAGCTAAGGCTGCTCTCGGCGGATACATGAGCACTGAGTGCCCGCTGATCGCCTGGAGCTCCGAAATCGGCAAAGCAAATTTTCAAATAGGTGATATCTTTATAAATAAACCACAGATTTGAGTTTAAAACAATTACATTCTCGCCTGAAAAACTCTTAAAACTACATTCATTACACAATAACAGTAGTAATATTTAGAAAATTACGCGGGTATTTGGGCAATGACGTTTCACAAGTCCACAAGAACAGTCAAGAACGCATATTGAGAAACGGCTATTGTCTGTGTGAAAATATAAAATTATAAAATAAACGGTTATATATTTATGTGTTTGCGCACTCTCATGTAAACAAGCCCAACACTCATGGACAGCAGAGCGGAACGAGTGAAGGAGAAGCTTTATCCCCTTGTATCACGCAAAAGTGACGATTCTAGTCAACCAATCAACGTTCTGCGTTGAGTTTAGCTCCACCCTTTTGGTACCCTTTGCTGTGCTAGGTACCCCAACGGAAGGGTACCAAAAAAGTGGTACGGTTCGCTATTTTGGTACCATTCACAGCTTCTGACAGTGGAAACGGAAATAATTGCGTACCGTACTGTACCGAACCGCTCAAAGGAAACGAGCTATAAGATATTGATCGGGGAAGCAGTCACGTGACAAAAGAATAGTGATGTTACGTTCGTGAACGAATCGTCCTTTTTGAACGAATCTTTTAGGTGAACGAATCGTTCTCGTAATCCCTTGACTCATATTTCTCGTTCACTGATATTCCTCCCTCCAGAGCAGCGCGGCAATATTAGCAGCGCATGCGCAGATCAGTGAACCGGGTAGCTCTGTGAACGGTTTCATGCTGTCAAGGAATGACTAAACCTCGAGCCAATAGCCTTCGAGTATGAGATGTGACGGAGCATGTGATTTGTTGAATGTAGTGAACGAATACGCCCTTCACTGAACGAGTTTCTTTTGAGTCTGAACGAGATCGAGAGATCTTCTTGTTCGTGAATTAAATGAGAGTGTACCGGGTCAGTCGGCCATTTAGTAGCCTATGTCAATCTCGATCAGCAATCAGCAGAAAGCGGATGCAAAGCGCAGACAGTTATAGGTACTGTGCACGTACGCTTGTTTATATATTCATATTTAGCATACAGAACATAACTCCACGTTTAATCCCCGATTTATGAATGTGTAAATGTCTGACCAAACAATGAAAATGTTAATTATGCAAGAAAACCTTCTGCTTTGGTCATCTGAACAATTTAGACTTGATTTATTTAATGAGTAGATTATGCACACATTTTAATAAAGCCAAATCAGTTTTTTGTAATAAGTAAATACGTTCATTAACTTAAGACATAACAGAAGTAGACATAAGACAAAACACTATTTTTCGCCACCTGCTGGCGTATTTATGTAATATGAAGAAATGGCCACTGAACGAATCAGTGAACGAATCATTTTGGTGAACGAACTGAAAATGAACGAATCTCTTGAAAGAATCAGTAACTACAAAAGAATGAACGAGCCGAAGACTCGGGAGGTGAGGTGAACTAACAGACTGCACAGCCAGCTAAGCAATGAATCATTTCTGTTTCTTATAATCTGGTCTTGGTTGCATTATAGTTTATATAACGCGATCAATGTTTAAGTAAATAGATGTGTTGGGGAATTTGGATATTAACACGTAACATTTTAATTATATTCTGCTGAAACGAACGAAATGACTTGATAAGGGATTCGTTCGTTCTGCTGAACGAGATTCAAAGATCCGAGTCAGTAAAATGATTCGAACTTCCCATCACTATCACCGGTTAAAGTTTTTCAAAAATCCTTTGTTTTCTAGGACTCTGGAAACCCGGAATAGTTCATCAAGACGTGCATATGTGGATAATTATATTTTACCTTTGGATTGGGAGTAATATCATTCTTGGTAAAATGCTTCGCCTCTTGTCCAGTCAAAACTTCGGTTCGGTAGAACTGCACAATGGCATCCACCTTGTACACCGGGAACGTGTTTTCACTCATGCCTGCTGCTGCAACACATAACCCGCATTCATGAATGAGTTCTCTTCGCTCGTTGTTTACCGACAGACGCTTCGACGCGAGCAGCTGTCCAGAGCCATAACAAACACTTATGCGTCAGAAAGCTCTGACTCGGGGAATTCGAAGATACAGAATTAAAATTATTACCATCTTTTTCACATTGTTGGTCCGACATTATTGAAACTCTACAATTAATACCCAACTATTGTACTAACCGAGTTTACGCTTGGGTCCCTCGTCGTCAACTGACGCAAATTCAAACTTTAGGCGCGTCTGCCGTCACTTCCGCCATAGTTTCCCTACGTCACGAGTCGTCGCAAAAGCAAAGCGTGTAGCGCCCTCTACAGGACAGTTTATGCTCCAACATGCACAGTTGGGAGTAGTTTTATTTAATTAAATAATAAATTTAAAATTATAATTATTACTGGGATAGATTATGTAGTAATCATTATTAATTACTATTAATTAAAACGTCATGGGATTTTTGCACAGATGAGCTCATGCTTATTTAGTAATGCACCTTTTTCTTGATAAGTGTTTCCAGAAAAAAAAATTACCAAATATATTCGTGAGATTATGCATTCAATACGTTTTAAACAAAAGCAATGTCTTTTAAATACATTCATGATGATAATATTTTGTTCTTGAGGGAGAAAGTTTGGGTAAATATAATTTTCCAACAATAAAAAGTAGTAGCTGATTATGCACCTCTGATGGTTAAATAACTCTATAACGACTACAATCACATTTCAACACAAAATCAAGACCACCAATACTTGGATAGTTTTATTATTATTATTATTATTATTATTATTATTGCAAAATATGCAAGTACAAATATTTCAGTTTTTATAAACATAAGCAAACACAGAACATTTCCAGCAAAAGCACGTATTACACAAGTACAATCAATTTCTCACAATGCATCATTACATTAACCAAAAAGGAAGGAACAAAACTAAAGGAAGAGGAGAAAAAAAGGCAGAGCAAAACAGGTATCAATCATGGTACATGACAGATCTCATCACATTTCTTCAAAAAAGAAGTACTTTTTTTTTTTTTATTAATTATTCTTAGTGATTTGATTAAATGTTCTACTTCACATAATAAATCTCCCGATACTTGGGAAGTTTTGAGCAGCGCCGCTGAGAAACAGAGTTGCGACTCTCCCATAGGCTTCCACAGGATCTGAGGAATGCGGAAGTAAAGCGTGACGGACCAGCCAATAGTTCCAGTATTGAAGCCCATTCATTTCAGTGCTTCTCAAGCACACTCGCCAGAGAGTTGAGGACATTATAGCAGTTTTTGTCATTTTAACGCATTAGTTTACCTCTCGGAAATTTGGCCAGTAGTTGTATTTTATGAAACGCGTTATAGTTAATGGTAATAAATTGCACAGTTTAATGGGTATATGAATTTATCAGAGACAGAAATTCAACAGACACAAACACTAAATTCGCATCTTTGGATTGGAAACATAGGCTTCATTTGCCCATCACTACCATGAACCACGTGACCGCGTGGCGGCGAGATCAAAGCGTGTCGCAACTCTTCTGTTTCTCAACGGCTCTGGTTTTGAAAAGCCTTGCAGCGTGGTGACGTGCGCATAAACAAAGTCTACGATTGGTCGACTGGACGCCGACGTCACAGTTCCATCCACAGCGTCACTGTTTCGTTTGTTATAACCGTGACCGTTATAGTTTTTTCCGGCGATAAAGAGGTGAAACTATTTGATGTCTAGTGCAGCGAGTAACTTCTCATTCTGTTTATTTACCACGGTGAAGCAGGCAGGCGCTGCTCTGAGACACCTAAAGCAGCGCCGCTGATGCGCTTGAGCTCTTCCGCGTTGGCGAGCGCGTGCAGGTGACTGCGGTAAAGTTGGTTTTATATTCACACATTCGGACTTCCGTGTTCAATAGCTTTGTTAATATGCATTTAAAAAGGATACTTACAATTAATTTTCATTACCGACTATAATGAGCAGTACCTACAATCCATTTGTCTGCAGAAGTCGATGTTTTTATAAGGCTGAAAAACACGTTTATGGCTATGGAATGATGTGACGTCATCACCAGCAGAGGGACCGTCTACAAATTACAGGACGCTTCTATGGAAAGTTGCTAAAGACTCATTTGAGCTGAAAAGCGCTGCTTGCTTTTAGTGAAAACGTTCCAGAGCATGTTGATATATTATACATTTATATATTTAATAAACAATTTGTGCCTCAAGTGTATTTTTTGTTGTTGCTATTACTGTGTTAATTACTGTGGTTTCTTCAATGACACATTATTAAGTTCAATAGCTTTTAAAAGGCTTGATGGACTGGTCCTGGACACATTGGAAAATCTAAACTTCACCCTAATAAACATACTACAACTCTTTATTGTGCAGCAATTTTCCTTATGTGGTCAATTTGTACTACTTCATAAAAAAGTGTTGTATTGGTTTCTTCAATGACACAACATTTAGTTCAATAGCTTTTAAAAAGCTCGATGGACTATTCTAGAACATGGTGGAAAATGTTTATTTTAACCTAAAGAACATACTACAATTCTTTAATGTGCTATTATTTACTCTAGATGTTCAATTTCTATCATCACTGTATTCTATGGGGTTCTTCAATGGCACAGCATCCAGTTCAATAACTTTTGAAAAGAGGGTCACACCGCTCCAAAACAAAATGCTAAATATTTATTTGATCATAAAGAACATACTACAACTCTTTATTGTGCGAGTTATTGCTTTATGCTCCCAGCGTATTGCATTGGTTTTTTCATTGACACCTTACACAGTTCAATAGGTCTTGAAAAAACAGATCAAGTCATCCAAGGAAGATTGTAAATTCTTTATTTAGTCTCAAAGACCAAGCTACAATTCTTTATTGTACAAGTTTTTGCTTTATATGCTTCATACCTATTAATGACATTTTGTATGGGTTTCTCCATTGACACATGGTCTACTTCAATAGCTTTAGAAAAAAGAGTCGTAGTGCTCCAGAACGAGTTGGAAATTGTTTATTTGACCTTATAGAGCAGCAGTGGCGAACTCCGGTCCTGAAGAGCCGCAGCCCTGCAGAGTACAGCTCCAACCCTAATTAAAACTCACCTGCCTGTAGCTTTCTAGTAACCCTTCAGACCTTGATTAGCTTGTTCAGGTGTGTTTGATTAGGGTTGAAGCAAAACTCTGCAGGGCTGCGGCTCTCCAGGACCGACGTTGAAGAGCATACTCTTCAGTGTACATATATTTGCCTTTTATGTTTTTCTCAATCACACATTATCCACTTCAATAGATTTTGAAAGGAGTGACCGACTGCTCTAAAACAAGTTGGAAATCCTTATAAATAGTTTACAAAACAAACTACAGTCCAGGTTTTCTTGTCTTTTCATCTCTGTTTTTGTAATTTTGTGTGATACAGAGCTGTGATCCTTATGAGGTATGCAACATTGTTGACAAGGTGTTGAATTAACATAAATCTATTATTATGTTTTATGTTTATGCTGTTTTCAGTATTCATCTAACATTAAACTCACTCAATATCATAATCCATATTCACTGATCAATATTTATAGTCTTGCAGAACTGTCACTGTCCATGGTTCAGAATTTTTCATGTTATTGAAAAACATGTTTTTTACATTTTCCAATTTGATAAGAAGCTAAGTGCATTGCTTTTTATAGTTGCACTAAAACAAACTCAGTATAGCCTATCACCACAGCACAAAGATTTGTTAATGGAAAGACTTAAGTTTTCACAGCTTTTAAGCAAGCCTTGATAATGTGATTAATCAGCTGAATGGCATTTTTGGCCAACATGTCACTGAACTTTTTAGATGCAAATCAGCATGCTTTGCTGAAATGTGAACATATGCATGTAGTGCACCAGCAGACAAGATGACTTTCCAGGGGGCCCAGTTTATGAAATGAGCCCTCTTTAACTGCTATAGTGGAGGATGGTTTGCTACAATTTGATTGGATGCCAATGGACTAACACAAACAAACGTCCAGTGATATCAGATAAGGAGGCTAAGACAACCACCAGACATCTTGCTTGGCCAAAAAAGGCGATCCCAGCACCCAGGAGAGGCCATTTTAACTGGTCCAAAAGATTCACCTTTTTACCAAAACCCTCCTTTTACTTTCATTCTAAGGCCTAGGCTAAGATGACCATAAATTCCTTTGACCTACAGATGCAGCATGCAATTTTGCTGGCCATGCGGTAACAATGGCTAGAACAAAGGAGATCAAACTTTTCACATTTTTCAACTTTTCACACCCCTAAAATATAATTGATATTCCTTAGTAGTGTTTGTCATTTACATTTGTCATTAACATTGTTTAGTAATTTTTTAACCATGGCATGTTTATTTTTGTCATTGCATGTTTAGTTTTTAATTTCTTTTTTTTGTTACAACTGTGTCTTTCTTGTGTTGGTAATCACAAGCCAAATCTCAAAACCCTTTAGATAAACCATCTGATTTCCTTCCTCCAATGCACATAATTTTTCTTATTGTATGATCCATTTGGATCATTTGATATTGTTAAGGTGATATTCCTTAGCTGGTCCCCCGAGGTAAAAGGACGGAGAGGTCATCTGACACACACACACACACACACCTGAGATGATGTGGGACCAAACCCACCGCCTCTAGTGTCTTGTGTATGGCATACCACACAATTGGTATGCATGTGAAGATCACTACATATCTTTGTAATGTGAGTAAGTTGCTGTCATATTTTCTTAATAATGATAATCAAATCTCCTTTTTTATTTTTTAAAAGCTACTTAGAAAAAAAAAACAAATCACGGTTTCATGATTGTGTTTCTTTAAAGAAGCAGGAAGGATATTTAAGAAATACAATTTTATTTCATTTAAAGCTATGAACAACTTTATATGTTTTATCTATACATAATGGAAAAAATAATATAGCTGCTAACAATAGCAGCCTCCAAAATAACTTTAGGCCCATTAACAAATATGAACTATGCATAAATCAACCAACTTAGGCTTACTAACCCATTGTTTCACTTTAAACTTGATAAGTTAAGAATACTCAGAACATTTGAAAAACAAACTGAATTTTTTTTCTGAAGTTTGTAGAGCTTTACAAATTTTGTGACAAGTGTGGTGGGGCTAAGAGCCATGGGAGCCACCAAGCCTCACTTCAGTGGATCTCAGTTGCACCCCACTCATCACAATGATAATTATGTACAGCTTTCTTGCGTACACATCACATTCAATCAGATCTTTATAGTTAAGTACTAGTTAGCAACAGCACACTAGCATGTGCTAATGTAGTTCGCTCTCACTAAACACTTGCATGTAAATAGTCAAACAACATGCAGTACATGTAGTCCCAAAGTTTTACTTTCCATCCTCAACCTAACCACATGCTCTACTCTTCACCACAACGGTAACACTACAAAACCAATATAACAGAAACCTCTGTAAATCCTAACATAACACAACATAAAATCCTAAATTATGTCTCCCTGTGTTAATCTTGTGCAAAACACACACAAAATACCACTTAATTACAACATTTATTTTCCTTGTAGTCTGATGCAAAGCAAAAAGACCCCAAAACATGCTTAACTATATTAGCCACAACCAAAACATAATAGAAGGCAACAACTCAATAATCAAATAAAATCAACATTTATTTTATGACATTCAAACCAAATAATCATCAACATAACAAATTCATACAAAATTTAACTGCACAAGGCAAATAAATAAATAAACAAGAAAAAATAACATTAATAAAGATTACCCTCTTAGGAACATAATGGTACGAACCAATTTCCTGTGACACAGCATAAAGATGACACTGGGACACCAAGTCTCCCTTTTGTTTGCTGATACGTGGAGTGCAGCCACTAACCCCATGGATCAGAGCACCTTAAACCTCAGGTAACTTAAATAGTATAAATTAAAAAATTTTTTTAAAAGTGTGCACCCTTCTAATAAAGTCTTTAACTCCTTTGCTTGTGTGTTGGTTTGGCTTGTGCGTTTGTTGTTAGAGGGTGTCTGTAAAGTACACAACAAATTTTAAGTAAGTAAATTAAGTAAACAATTGGTGAGGCCAAATATGTGGCATTGCCATAAACTCACCCCTTAACTACCAGTGAGACCACTTGCATATCTTACAAATCTTTATGTTGGAATTCTAAGAATGTCTGATTGGAAACTAAAATACCTATTGCATCACAAGTCATTTTAATCATTGAGGCCTCATGACTGGTTGGTTGGGGAGGTAGGGTTTTCTTTGCTAAAATTAATTCATTTTGATGAGTGGTCCTCAACCCAGTCCTGGAGGGACCCTTAGTACAGCATGTTTTGTATGTCCCCCTCTGGCACACCTCATTCAGCTCTTGCAGTCTTAAGATAACAGATTAAGGAGACTTACAAAATCTGCATTACTAGGGGTCCTCCAGGAATTTGTTGAGAACTACTGATTTTGAAAATAAGGCACAATCCAGTCTGTTCAGTCATACCTGGTGAACAATGTTACATTATAATGATCACAAATTCACACTTAAATAAAAAAGAGGTGAAAAATGGGCTATATATGCTCAGTACAGTTAAAATGATGACTTCAGAATAATTGGTTTATAGTTTGTCATGTGTCACTAAAGAAATCAACACAACACAGGCCCAAATTGAACAACAGAGGCACAAAATGTTTACAAAAAGTTTTGATGAAATTGTTGTAACTATTTCAAAGTCACTGAAGTGCCTGTCCAAATAAACATTCTGTTTGATGTTGTGTTTTCTGAGTGCTATTAATAACATGATGAATTCAGCACCATGGACAGTGACAGTTCTGCAAAGCTGTAAACTCACTCAGTGCACATAGAGAATG